ATCTAAATCTTTAACTTGGTCAATTTTTTCCTTCATGTCAGCATCTTCAGTTAATTTTATAAGTTTTTCTAAATCGACATAAGCTAAAGCTTCCCGAATGAAAGGGACACTTTTTCTATAGTTTCAACAAAGCTGATACGCCACCAGGTTGAATAACAATTTTGCCAACACTTAAAGATGATTCTATAACGGCGACTATCAAATTTTTTTGTGCATCATGTCTTTGTTGAATCAACCAATTTATAATTCCTTTTTCGAGTTCACGGAATGTACTTTCTGTGTATTTTCGTCTTTCCTATTATTGTTTTTATAGAAAATTTTTAATATATGTATGAACGTTTTTTGAAAATTATTTCTATAAAACGTGTATACATATTTGAAGCTCACTTTCAATTTTTTTCATTAATTCACATGCTGATTCATAACGAATTTTTCTATCATTATTTAAATCTTCATGCATTTCGGCTTTATCATTACGATTCATTAATGATGCATATAGCAGTTCTGTTTGTTGCTCATCATTTAGGAACTTGTAAATTTTTCTTCATAATCTTTTGCAGATTTCATATATTTATCAATTCGCTTTTATAAGTATGCATGTCAAGCGGCGGAACAAATTGAATATTATCTGCTTTTCTTTTATCTATGACATTAAGTTTCGTGAATATTGTTAATGCATAATAATATAACTCTTTTGTCTCTTCACATTCAGATTTTCTTGTTATTCTAATAGTCCAAGAGAGAATTGATCGTGTAATTCCAGGTTTTTCATAAAATAAAGCAATTGCGATATTTAAAGAGTATCGTAAAATTTTAAAGAATGATTCATTCTTAAGAATAATATTATCAAAAGTATATATATCTTTATATTCCGGGCTCTTATGATTGTGTATAGTAAGTAGCTTGCCAACATTTTTTGAATCTTTAATTTTGAGTTTATATGAAACATTATTTGCGATAATTTCAAGTTCAGATGTCATTTCTATAGCGTATATTATTATTCGGATGAATTTTTTGTAATTAATAACTATTTGGCATTTCGATCCAATTTCAATTCGTCTCGCTACTATCAAGATAGCTCCACTTTCATTCAAA